TGTGTGAGGCATTTTCTTCTTCATGGCCGGAGTATAACAGCAGCTCTTCTGAAGCTAGTCTTAGTTATCTAACCTGTGTCCAGTGTGTTTCACTGATTCCAAACACCTCCAGGTTGTGTCCCTTCAGTTCCTCAATAACTTTAATGATTCTGCTAGTCTCCCAAATCGTAAGGACATTCCATTTATTTATGTTAATTATCTCTCTGGTTAAAACTTAAAACATGATTTAAAATTTAATGGTATGTTATATTTCTTTGTTATTTATAAATTCAAATTTCTGCTATTTTTCTGAAAGTATTTGTTTAATACAGGTGTACACGTACAATATGTTGTCATGACAGCAACCCTATACATTATAAATCAGTAATATTTGCAACCTAAACACTGTAAACGACATCAGAACACATTTTTCAATTCAGATTAAATTTGCACCGATTTATACTAATGCCATGATTCGTTACCCTAGGACATTCTATTTTATCGAAACCAGTGAAGTTAAATTTGCTTGATAACACAAATAGACCAAGACTGACAATGAATTTTCACTTAGAAAATTCATATTGAACATTTTGATTACTTAGCATTTACTTGTTTTATATAGCCTTTACACCTTTTAGGATTTAATTCGTGAGGAGATTCTCGAAGTTCTAGTGAGAATACGTGACCAGTGAAGTTCAACCCTGTCGGGTGTAGGCAGTAACTACCGAAGACAAATGGGTGAGGTCGTGCAAAATCCCTAGATCAATCAGAGTTAGACATTAACACCGTTAGACGCCAACCCAGCGTTCCAATGGTTAGGCGTTCGCGCACAGTAACGAAGGTCCCGGGTTCGAATCCTGCGAGATGCAGGAGTAGTGGATTCGCACTGCTGATGAGTCCTATAACAGGACGAAACGGTCGTCCAGTACTTCCAGGTTTCTAATGGTGGTCTAACAATGATTGATTGATGATTTCAATTGCGTAAAAATACTAATCTCTATTACTCTAAATGAAAATTTAATTTAACCATAACAATTCAACTACAAACATATTTGCTATTCAATAGTTTGTGTTGCCGTATCAGGTGATATCGTTAATACAGATAGAAAAATCTAAAAATTAAATAATGTTATAATGATAATTCGAACTAGTCACAATAATAACGTTGATTCTCAGATAAGTTTAATTTCAGGTAGATAGAAGTTGTTGAACGAAAATGAATGTGTTAATTTTGAAATTGATAATAGGCGCAAAATAATGTATAAACGAATAATCACATTAAACAAACATGACATGAAACAACATAGTTAAGATTTTGAATTCGAGTTTTTTTTACAGATTTAGAGGTAAGCTGTTTAACAGGATGATTTCATCTCATACATGTTGACCTAAACACATCATACCAGAATAGAGTATATTTTAGTCTTAAATATGAAATGGCATTACACTCATATGTCAATGTTTTGTTAATTTTTAAAAACATTTACATACGATTGACTAAATTTTTTAATAAGAGTATTCATAAAATAACTATGTTTCTAGAAGTAACATCATAACGTTTAAATATCGATGGTTGAGTTGCAGTCATATATATAGTAATCACATCCATTAGTTAATAGAGCACGTGGTAAAAATTTATATCATCATACTTTGAATGCTTTACTTAAGTAGAAAATTATATGTCACATTTCATTTTAAACAAAATTTGTTTTTCCTTTTCAATGAACCTAAATAGTTCGTAATCCAGAAAAAAAGAAGGAATACAAAATCTGTTTTTCTGTTTAACTCACAATGTTTAAAGTGGTTGTTATTGTTGTTGTTGTTGCTCTTGTTGTTGTTGTCCTACATAAATTTTGATAATTGAATTCAATATACAATATTAGATTGAATGGCTGCTTTTCTTCTAAATAAAAACTATTTTATCATCTAGTTTAGAATAAATTGATCAGAAAGAAAGAAAAAAACGTCATCTGGTAAAAATATTCTGACAAAGGAAATTTGACGTGTATTAATTTAAATCAGGAAGAAAAAATAATGTTAAAAACAAGCATTTTTCATTTACTAGTAATATATTATTCCCTGCGGAAAATATAGAAGTGAAGCAATCAAAAAAACAAAAAAACAAATTCTTTAAACTAAAGGATAATTAACAAAATTTTGATGTATCACCGAATGAGTTCAGAAATATTTGAAAATTTTGACCTTTCCTTAGTTTTATATACTACTACATAAACAAATCTAAGAATAGGGTAGTGTAGGTGATTATGTGAATATTTGATCATAAATTTATTAGCAATATGCGTTAAGTTAGACATTAACATCGTTAGATATCGGCTTAGTGGTCGTGAGGTTAGGCGTTCGCGCGCAAGACCGATGGTCAAGGGTTCGATTCCTGCGAGTAGCAGGAGTCGTGGATGCGCATCGCTGATGAGTCCCATAAGAGGACGAAACGGCCCCATAGTGCTTCCAGGTTTCTAATGGTGGTCTAACATTGTTTAATTCATGATTTCAAATTCGTTTGCGTTTGCTTCCACATAATAATGAACCAGTGTTTTATTAAACATCATTCATAATATCATTTAGGAATTCAGCATTTATCTTATATCAGTGAGGCTATAATTCTCTGACGACCTACGAGTGACATCAAGGTGACCTTTAGAAAATTAGTCAACCAACTGGGGTCTAAAAGGGGTTATAAGATAAAATAAGTGTTATGAGTCGGGATTTAAATTTTGAAGTTGAGAAGAAGAAGAAGTCTAGACAAGTTAGGTGGACTAAAACTTGAGACTGTTTAAATTTCAAACACTGAGGTTATTTCGAATATAGTTTCCATACATAATTTCTTCGGTGTACTTAGCTCTTGATTTCTTTCAGACTATTCATTCAGATACTGACGAACGCATTTACATAAGTTCAAATTAATTTTTCTTATTAACCTACCATGTAAAGCTCTTGAAAGATTGCGATTGAATGGATAGAACAATGAAGGTCACTAATAAAATAAATGTGCAATTATCTTAGACTATGTGGTGTAAAACAATTCCAGCTTCATGTAATACACATATTTCCATACCTATTCTAGTGACTTTTAGTGATTTAAATTTCAATGAACCCACTAAATTATTAACTGACTTTATTGTATTATAAACTTTAACATTCTTCACAACTACCTACAACGTAAATTCGTATTTTACCATTACTACAAATGAACTACATTTCGTCAATATCCTACCGAAATTATTTTTATAAATTATCGACAAATTCAATTATTGGCATTATTAGAGTGACCGGCTGTTAAAACTTTGAATATTCAAATATTCTTATCAATTACACTTTGATTGCCACTTGATATTAACTAGTTGACAAACTTGTTCTCATTTTTTGGATTCAAGCGACAGAAGATCTTGTATTACAATACTCGCTGAGCCTAATAAAAGATTATCCTATCCAAGTACCACTCAAAAATGCCGACCCACTACCTCGCAGATGATGGCATGCAGAACTTTCAGGTAATACAGTGAGTGATCAGCCTCTAGACCACTGACTACCACGGATCTTGTGATGTATTTTCTGAGGTCAATCCCTGATTCATTTCAGTTTACTTTAATAATAAGCTACTAGCAGTTGTCAAACTGATCTTGAAAATAATCAATATTATCTCTACTTCCAACACAATTTTTAAATTAAAATTACTATCAATTATGAAATCAAATGACATGTATATTGTAATCATTCAGAAAAGAATATTTTTGTTACGAATCCTACTAGCAATTATCCCACACACACATATTTGTCATTATTTCTTCAATATGATTTTATGCAGACAACAAAAACTTATCGAATTCTAATGTAATCTGCATCATATTGATGGTATAATAATTTTTTTTTAAAAAAACATACAAAACCGAATATATCAATCAATAAAATTGTGATTAACATTTTTTTTTAAAAGTTGAGTGACGCATTTTATTTGCTTTCTATGAGCCGAGAAACTCTATCAAAATAATACAAAACAGTAAATGTTACGCACTCGAAAAAACTTACTACTGAATATAAATCAATGAGATTAGAGATTTATTTTTTATTGAGCCAGTAGCTGGAAGTCATGAAAGCTCATGAGTTGAGTTTTATGCAAGTTTTTAATTGTACTGTTCTCCGCAAATTAATCGAAAAGATTGTATATTGAAAAATTGTTTCACACAGCTGACAACTATATTCACTGGTTATATAAAAAGTTTCTTTTAACTTATAAAACCTCATTTGATTTATGGATTGTTTAAATCATCATAACCTGGTCTCAATAATATGAAAATTTTCACCTTTGGTGTTAAAAAGCCGTATGCTCATTAAAAAGTTTATTTTTCCATTTTCTCACCTTTGGTTGAAGATCGAAATCACCAAACAGTATTTTGACAGAAATATTTCGATTCCTTCAATGACTAGAACAAAACTGGAATAGGTTTAGAGTCAGTGAATATCACTACAGTAGAATGCTACCATTTTCTTATCATATATACAGAGATAGACTAATTCTATATATATTTTTAAGTAGTTCATTAAATTTAATTCTGTTTTACATAGATGGATTAAGGATTTCAGCCTAAGCATCGTTTAAAAATTTTGATGAATGAAGACTTTAAGATCAGATGGAATAGTAGTGTGGTAAGAGAGAAGACAGAGTTTACTAGTCAAAACTATACACCAAATCTTCAGACATTCATTTGTAAAACAAAGGGATTATAGACTTTCTTCATTCAGCTGTCTTCTAGTCTTTAAAAAACTTTGATCGTACCATACACTTCAAACCTCTGACATTATTCTCTTCAGCATTAACTTCTAAGAGAGTCTGCTGCATACTACTTAAAAGCAATGTTGTAAGTAGTATCGTTATGAAGAGTACAGTTGATGTCATTTATTTCTATAGACTAAATTTCAACCAGAAATACTCGATCAGTACATAATTTAGAAAAATGCACACTAATGAAATCAATATTGATTTTCGTTGTAAATAATACTCCAAATGGAATTTTCAAATATATATTCATCACTATAGTATCATCACAAGATATAAAAAACACAAGAATGTTAATTAGTGCAACATACAATAGACAATGATCAAAACTATTTTATATACAATCTATGTTCATTTGTCTTTCAATGACAAACAGACATCAAAACAGAATAAACCTAAATAACAAACATTGTTTCAAAAAAATACAATTATTACCGTTAATTCTTATTCAATCACATGTTGTCTATCATTTCACTTTTAAAAAAAATATGACAATGACATAATAATAATAATAATAATAATAATAATAATAATAATAATGATAATGATAATAGTAATAGTACAAGGAATGTTTAATTAATGAGAATAATCTGTTTGATGTTTCGAAAAAAATTGATCATTTATGATGCTTCATTTTTGTGGGGAAGTAAAAATCAACCAAAAAAATATTCACAAATAGCTTTAAAAAAAAATTATGATTAAATATTCACATTACTGATAATGATAATTTACATTTTTAATTTAAAAAATAAAATATAACAAACAATGATTACATCGTACATTATACTCCATTTTCTAATTCTTGTGTTTCACTAAGTGTTTCAAATACACATGCACGAGAATGTGAATGTGAGTTACAATTTGTTAGATTATCAATAAAATAAGGTTTATTCACGTCAGTAGTGAAATTATTATTTCTTCGTCGTATATGTCTTGGTGAATTAGGCGCGGAACGTGTTTTAATTTCAGTTGTACGAAGAAATTCCATATGCATTGGATTGATTGTATTCTGATTGAAAATTGTTAGCCAATAAGCTACAGAATGTTCATCAGCTATTTCACATTCAAGAGTTACACCTTCACCACATCGAGTATAAATATGAAAACGTTTCTCGTCCACAGGACTAGAACGTGTATGTTTTAAATTGAATTTCATGAAAGGAGGTGAATAATAGTCTGGTGTCTGTTCAGAATTTTGTGGATTTATTCTTGATTTTAGTAATAATACAAAAGTTGGAATGTCTAAATTTTGTGTATTAAGTTTTGATGAAACAGAAGTTGATTTCTGATAAATTTGTACCCAAACAAGTTGATGATATTTATCTGATGAATTTATAGGTTCTATAAATATTTTTCCAACTATAGTCTGTCCAAAATTGTTGGAATGATCAATATTGATTAACGAGTCGGTATTATTTAAATATTCATGTTTTTGAATGTTATTTGTGTAGTTATTACAATTACCATGATTATTATTATTATCATCATCATCATTATCGTCGATATTAATAAGAAAATTTGAAGGTGGAACAGTTAATGATCTACAATCTTCCGGTGATTCATGTGATGTTTCTGTTATATCCCTTTCATTACCGATCGGATCGATTAAAATCTGTGGAAGACTATTATTCATTTTCAGCTAATGTTTTGATGAATTTATGCTAGCTTTTAATAAAATAAATAAACATGTGTTTTCTGATGTCATTTTCAAAATAGGATTGATGCCTTGCAGATTGGTTTTTATTAATTTACAAATCTTTCGATGATCAAAACCAATCATAAATGAACTATAATTGTCAATCATTCACAGCTTTGTAGAATTCAGCCAATCACGTAGTTCGACCAATTTTTGAAATGTGATTGGGCTGTTAGAAATATGTTTTATCATTATGTATGAGAAACTGATGTTTTTCAAGCTAAAATAACATGTGGAATACCAAAGCGATCTGAATTAACCCTCTCATAGTTTAAGAGGTTTACGAAAATCGGGATAAACACTGAATGTCTAACTTTCTTGTTAGTTCAAAAGAATTGAACAGTAAATGTGAAATATCAAGATAGATCAACATAAAACAATTTAAGTAGTGTAACAATTCATCTAGTTTAAAACCATCTTATTATTATAGAAGTTGGTCGCATTCAAGTAAAGAACAGACGAAAGAAGGAATGTTATGACGAACATTTTAATCGAAAATATTTTTTCTATGTCCGATTTGAATGGAAACTCAAGTATTAAAAGGAGTAACTGGGAGAGAGATCTATTTATTTGTCAGGAAAAAGGTAGAAATACCTGTTTAAAAGTTGTGAACAAAAGTTTTTGAACAATTAAACGGACATTTGTTTTGTTGATTTCATTGAAATCCAAGATACTTAAGACATATAAAACACTTGGGATATAGAAGTTTTGATCAATAATACATTATGTTAACGTCTACTTTTTATGTACTTACAAAATTTATTCCTAAGCACTCTAATTCGTAGACTAGGTTGTTATTACATTGGTTTCTTTGTCCATCAGTATAAGTAGTAAATTGCTAACGATAAGGTGACAAACAAAATATTTAAGAAATTAGATTTTACTCCAAATATTATCAAGTGTTGACAATGACTTAATTGTGAACACAAATTAGGTTTGCATTTTCAAAATATGCGTCATTAGTGTTGAAAATTGTTGATTTATTAAAAAAGAGCCATATGATCATGCTTTTTAGCCTAAATCAGTAAGGAGGCAATAATTGTGAAAGAAAATCTGTTTACTTTTCATATTCTGTACCAACAGAAATTTTGTGTATAATGTTCAAGAACAATATTTACTGCCAGTGATTTATCATTTGTAAACGTTGAATATAGTTTTTAACACAAACTAGCGTCTTTTTGAGAATATTTAAAAATATGAAGCACCAAAAGTTTAATTTCTTGAAATCCAACCAATTTTTGTCTAGAACATCTCAGTCACATGACCAGATTATGGAAATTTATTATGCAGTGAATTCAGTAGTTAACATTTGCTATCGTTTGCAGCGGCTAACAACGCAATATAACAACAACGATAATACTAATTTTAGTTGAGTATAACTGTGAAAGACATGTATTTTTAATAGTGCGTTACAAGTACTAAAAACGTCACAGGAACCATCGAGAACAAATGAACATTAGAGTATTAACACTCTCTGAACGTGATTTGTGAGAATCTCTTAACGGTATTTCAGTTTAATATAAATGATACCAGTATTTAAGAGTCTTGTTATGCATAAAAGTTTGTTTAGAAATAAGTAACCAATTCCTGTGGACTTAAAATTTATTAACTACCATTTTTGGATGTTCTGATTGTCTCCTATTTTACCTATAACTCAGTTAAAGCCGATTTTTGCACAAAGTATTCACTTTGATTTGAAACTGAAACTGACAAGTCGCACATTGCACTTTTCTCTTTTTTGTATTATTGTGCAAAGCCATCTACACTGAATAACTTTTTATAAACACAAATTTTTCTCCATTTTACTGGAAAATAATTGAGGAAATCTAAAATACTGTTTGGCCTTTTCGTCCTGGCATAGGACTCATCAACAGTGGGAATCCACGACTTCCGCACCTTTCAGTTCGTGAATTGACTGAAGTCAGGCATTGACACAACTAGGTGCCAACTCAGTGGTCCAGAGGTTAGGCGATCGCGGGCGAGGCCGAAGGTCCCAGACTAGAATCCTGAGAATCCTATGCCAGGAAGAAAAAGCCATCCAGTGCTTCCAGGTTTCTAATGGTGATCTAGCATTGATCGAATAATGATTTTAATAAGTAATTCAACAATCTTCACAACCACATAATGTAAAATGTTTTCTGATGAAGGAATGTCATAAAGTTTCAGTATACAACCTTAAAACACTTTTACAATAGATGTACATAGGAAACACAATCTAAGTTAATGAAAGGAAAGTATAGAAATAAAAAAAGTAGATCAGGAAAATACCATGAGTCAAGTGAGCTGTAAAAACTCAGATCTCTTAGTTTTACTAGATGACTTTTACAATTTATTTCCAAAGAGAAATATGTAATTTCATTTACTATTGGTAGTTCAAATCTTCCTATTGATGTTTAAGACTGCGGTTGATCAGGCTCTTTGGAAAAATGTCGTCTTGTGCAGATTGCCTAAGTATAACATTCAGGTTACAATCATTATTAGCAGAAGTGGACTGTGGATAGCAGTAGAAGGAGGGTGGCGCGCTTCGTCCCATTCGGAGTTCATCAGTCAGATGCACATGCATCTAACTAGTTACATACTTATTTTTAATTTTGTTGCGTTATGATTAATAATACTTTGTTGTTTTAGAGTATAAGCAGCTGAGAAAAATTCAAGAAATAACTAAATTCATGTTATTCTGTTTCGATATTTATCCTTTCTTCGTCCAAGTGTCGTATTTGGTAATTTCAGTAATGCATATTAAACCTTATTTGTCCAAGTTTGACCTACTTCCTATGTTGAACTATTGATTAGAATTTTGCTATTTTATTATTCTCATCACTACTATTACACATGTCTACTTAATTTCAATTTATACTTTTTACTTATTATGTGTATTCATACTATCAATTTCATTGTGATCAGTAACTTATAAATTTCCTTAATTGGTTTTATGTTTACTACGTTACCTATATAATTATTTATATATATTTGAGAAATCCTAGTGATTGTCTAATTGTACATAATATTTTGTGTTTGTATATATTGTACTAATGTTTATAATGAAAATCCCTACATATACATATATCTTTGCACCAAGTCTATCTGAAAGTGTAAACGAATGCAAATTATTATTCTAGTATTAACAAAAATTCGGCTAATTATTAACAATCGAACCTTTAATTCAACTGAGTGTCTAAATGAACACACACTCGTTGGATGCTTGAAACTATAAGGCACTGGGTTTGAGTCTCAAAGCGAAAATCAACACATGAGTGCATGCACATCCAGTTGACGAATCCCAAACAGGATTAAATACCCTTTTTGTATTCTTTTGCTAGTCCCTTCCTAACTTTGAGTGGAGTTACCATTTATTTAATCCCAAGATTAAGGCATTTTGCTCAAAATCAATTGTAGTCATCAACAACAGGATGATTCTACGTTTTATGAATAAACCATAATTCCATTTATTTTACGTAAAGAACATTTTGTCTTGGTTCCTTTATTTATTTTGTCTTTGTTATTTGTTGGTTAAACGCCTGATGAAGTAAAATATCATTTATATTTACATTGACATATGAAAACTATGTGAGTTTTTCAGGTCTTACAGTTTCGAAATCAAATTTCAACTAAATCAAATTCATCATTTGGTTGGTGAGGTCATTTACATAATGAATGATAAACTAAACTGAAAATTTACTTTTTATCTGATTTTTATGTTTAAAAACAGTTTCCATTTATGTGTTTTGAACTAGGGTTTTGAATTTGATCTAACTTAGGCAATGACAACCGATTCGATAAATGTTAGTTATTTTCATTGTTTATCCATAGACCTATCGTGATATATATATATATATATATATATATATATATCCTCATATATTTTTTTCAAACTCACAACAATTTCAGAAATTAACTGATATTACAGGAAGTTTCCATCTGACATTCAAAATATGAAGTAAATTTACTTCTCATTACTTCTATTCGATAACAACTCAGTAGTTAGATGTGTTTTTCCAAACTGGATTTCAATGTAAAAGCCAATAATGATCATTTTCTGCCATTTTAAGTGTTTCATAACATTTTGTCAAATTTACGTTTGACATGACATTAAATGGACTATTTTATATAAAACTTTATTTAATTTTTAAGTTTGTGGGAAAATCCATCTTTTTTCATGTTACACAATCTCGTGTAATCCTATTTTATGTAGAAAATAATGATTATCATTAATTTAGTCAAGTAAAATCAATAAACAAAAATGCGATCTTTACTAATTAAATTTGTTACAGTTTATTCGCTTTTTTGGCATTTCTTCATATTGTATTTTCATTGAAATACAGGAATTTGAGCAACTGAAAGAAACTCTTCCTGTTAAAAAAATGCATCGTTTCTAACTTATTGTCAAATTTTGGAAATTACAGTTAGTCTGATCATTCGTAACATTTAAACCATACAGGTTTTTAAAGATGAATTGAAAGCTTATCATTATTAGAATGAAGCTTCTTAGGCGGTGCTCAAAAATAGATAACAGCGAGCGGTTAAGCTAGGTTTTATTTTAGTGGCACTTGCCAGAAAGGTGCACCTGTAATTCGGACCCTTAACGGTTTGGGTCTAATAGTTAAATAAAAGGAACAGTTAACGGAATTTCGTCAGATCCCAGTTGGACATTTATTTCAAATCATTGAACCTGAACACGGTTCAAACGTGTGTGTATTAAGAGTCTACTCTGCTCCATAGGCAGTTTAAAATGTATTTGGTACTGAAAGAATATGTGCATAGGTACAATAACTGGAAAAATATAATATCGTTCTGTAGAAACGGTCTCATCTACATTGACGAATGGACGGTTCGTTTCCATTCAATAGTCAATATTGACGCATTTACTAGACACAGGTTCTAAAATCAATCAAAAAGCTTGAAATTTTGTTTCATAAATAAAACAACAATAAACTGAATTTTTCTAATTAAATGTATTTAAGCAAACTAAACCAGATTTCAGCGAAGGAGGAAATTATAAAGAATCGCTGGAAGTGGATAGGACACACACTACGAAAAGCATCAAACTGTTGCACAATACAAGCCC